AGGCTCTCTTGGCCAGGTTTGTCCCAGGCAGCACCGGAGCAGTCGAGTGGCTGGATCCCAGCTCCCTTCCTGCTTTCCACTATTTTAATGACTACAACCTCACTGGGCCTGACAGTGACTAGCAGGGAAACAACAAGCTCTCTCTAAAGTGCATTGTAAGACCAGGTTCCTAAGAGTCTAGAAATCAAGGCGGGAGGAGAGGGACTGGAGCCCACATCCTTTTAGAGGCGTAACAAAACAAGAGGTGAGTGGCACCAGCCGGGCCACAAACACCTTCCTGTGATGGGCTGGGTGGGATCCCTGTATCACTGAGGGGAAGTGACCCTAGGGCTGAAGAACAGGATGTAAGAAAGGGTGGAGCCTTCCTGAGAGCTCGAATTTGCATCCTGAGAGGCCAGTGGTAAGCTCAGAGAAGCAGAGGAGTGTCCAGCAGCCCCGACCGGCACCACCCACCACCGGCACCGCTAAGTGCGAATGTACTTGCTGATTGAGCTTAGGAGGAAGGGTCCCCTGGGACACCATCTCTCTTTCCTCTCTGCTTCCTTGATGGCATGCAATTAGCAGACCATCTTAGGAAAGGCGGCATGAAGGTGTGCTCGCACCATATGTCAACTCTGAAGACAGAGGAAACAGGGATACCCACACACACACACACACACACACACACACACACACACACACACACACACACTTCTGGTTGGCCCCCATCCAGTGTCTTGAGCTCAGAAAAAGGTGTCATTTCCCTGGAAACCAATGTGCCAGGAGTCTTTTTGATGAATTCAGTGCAGAGTCCAGATTGGCTGGCTCAGAACCCCGACAGTATCCTTTACCTGGATATCTTAGCTATGAGAGGCGTTATTTCCCTCGAGTGATGAAATAGTCACTCAGCGCGTCATGCCATTCGAAATGGTGGCACTCTATGCCTCCCACCCACTTCCTGCAATCGGGTTCCCATCAGCATCTGTCATCTGTCTCTACCTCTGTCCAGCTGCCTCCCAAGGTCAGCGACAGGAGAAGGGTCAACGGTAGCACAAACACAGCTGTGTGTCCGTTCAGTCCCGGTCTGTGCTCAGCTCAAACACCATGTGATGTGACTAGGAGTCCAGAAGCCTCCCCCGCCACCTGCTTCTCTGCAGCTGGTGTTAGGGCACAGGGTTATCGGTGTTTACACCACAGTCCTTTTGGTTACTGCGGTCTTCCGAGCAAGGGGAGGGCCTCGCAAGAAACAGGAGAAGGAGGGCAGAGAAGATCTGGGATGGTGCTTCAGCATGGACAGCTCTTGTGTGAGTCTGCCTTTTAAGTCATAATACATGAAGCATGGGTACTTGATATGGTGACCGGAGAACTCCTGGGTAAAATTATCTGTAGGAATATTATAAGGAATCAAGTTCTAGTCATAACCAACACTTAAAGGTTGTGCACTGGAAGTTAAGTCTGAACCAGGAGATGTGGAAGAGAGCAGACAGGGTCTGGGGGGGGGTGGGGGAGGGGGGCGCGGGGGGGGGGGGAGCCACACGGAGGCTCTTGGCTACCAAGTGTCTAGCAAAGTGTGGGGCTAGCAAATCAGAGAGGCCCCTGCTGTAGAAAGAACCTAGACAGAAACAGAAAAGTACTATGGCACTGCTTGTATGCAGAATGATTTATTAAAAGTCCATCAGAAACAAGAAGGTGAAATTGGTTCAGAGGACTAGGGAGCTGGGGAAGTAGGGAGAGGTTCGTTAAAGGCTTTGAGTGAAAAGCTTCTGTGAACTGATGTACAGTAGGCCACTGCAATTAATGACATGGCAGTAAGACACCTGCCAATTCTTATTTTGACCTAAAGTATTTGCATGACAGAGAGATAACCACGTGTGTGTGGTTGCGTGTGTGTGTGTGTGTGTGTGTGTGTGGTTGTGTAAGGGTATAATCTACTTTTTTACATTTTACAATGTACACATGTATGAAATGATGACACTCAAAAATGTACAGTGTCTCTGTCAGTTACACCCAGGTAAAGCTAAAGATACAGCAAAAGAAGCTAAACCCATTCTCTGCTGTGGCCAGTGCCTATATACTAGTCCTGGCTACTCTAATTGTTAGCCACTTTCAGGGAGGGGCCAAACACCAATGTCCTGTGGCAGAGTTATGAGACCATTTCAGATGATGATTCAGTTGAAATATAGCCATGGACAATGAGTTCAGTATATTTTATTCAATGAAAAAATTCTAATAAAGAAATATGCACGAGACAAACACTTATATACCAATTATTCTAAATAATGACAGATCCAAATCAAAGAATTTTGAGATTTAAGTATGTATTCTATATAAGCATATATTGAATTTATGTGTGTGTGCACGCTCACGCACACGTGCTTATGTGTGCGGCAGGGCAGAGGTGTCATCCTCAGGAGGTGTTCACCTTGCTGTACACCAATTAGGCTGGGCTGACTGGCCAGTGGGCCCCAGGGAGCACTCTAGCCCAATGGGCAAAGCGCTCACTGTGCAAGCATGAAGAATTTGGATGGCTAGAACTCCTTTAAAAGACAGGTGTGGTAGCATGCTCTAGTTATCCCAGCACTGGGGTTTGGGAAGTTAGGGGGCAAATTCTGAGGACTCTCTGGCTATCCAGTCTATAGAAATGGCAAGCTCCAGGTTCACTAAGAGATCCCGTCTCCAAAAGCAGTTGGAGAGCAATAGGCAAGGACATGGATTTCAACTGCTGGCCTCCACTCCCTCCCCAGCCACATGCATACACATGCACAGATCTCCCACAACACTATTAAATAAAAATACCCTGCTACCAACTAAAGGAGAAATGGTTGGAGTCTACAAAGCTGTTTCTAAATCCCTTACATATTAACCTGTCTAGGTAATAACCAGAAACTGCGGATAACCAAAAATTGAGTGTTTACAAACCCCATGAGGAGGACGAGAGGACCCTAGGAGGAATCTATACCTAAACTCAAAAACAAAGCAAAGGACGGTTTAAGGGGCGCCACAGGCACGCCCGACTTGCAGAGGCCGTGGATGACTGGCTGGGCTCTGTACCAAGTAAATGTGGACTCGGAAGAGAATCTGCATGTTAAAGATAAGAAGACACACAATGAATGCCTACACCAACTGAACCTTTGGAGGTGTGGATGCGTGATCTAAGCCAATAAACAAACAAACAAACAAACAAACAGGCAAAAATGTTCAAGCCTGGATGTGGGGGGGGGGGTATACACCTGTAATCCTAGCACTTGGGCGGAGGAAAGCATGGAGGATTGTTTAAACGTTCACGGTAATCAAGGAACAAGTGAACAAAACAAAGTGTAGCCAGATGGAGAGGGGGAGGACAGCCCTCCTCAGGCCAGGTGGCTTGTGGTCCCGCAACAGGCTCCTTCTTCCCTGCTGAGGCTTTGCTGCACCCAAGTGGCCAAGGGGAGGCCTAACAGCTGAGTCCTGACAGACAGGCCCCAGGACACAGACTGCAACAATTATGTTGAAGGGTTTCCTCCTGGTCCTTCCCCAAGCTCATACTCAGAAGCACGGAGCATCCACAGCAGCAGGTGATGGGCAGGAGACCGAGCCCTAAAGAAACGGTTGAGGTGCAGGATCTAGGGGACCAGAAGGGCCTGGAAGTCACTTCCTCCGCGGGGAAGAAAAGTGGCCAGAGGGAGGTGACTCAGAAGATGGGGAGCACAGATGAGCCCCAGTAGGAACTGAGTCCTACAGTGGGAGGAAGTTCCGTCAGCATGGGGGTAATGTCCCTGCGAGGGAGAGGAGGGGACCATCCTGCCTCAGGCAGCCTGAAGACACAGAAGACCCTCTCTGTGAGTGCCAGATAACCAAGAGGGGATCTGTGGACCCCCACGGAGAACAGCTCGATTTCTCAGCCTACTGCTGCAGCAAAAACCCATATAGACAGATACAGGGCTTGGACTTCAAATGCAAAGTGGCTGTTGAAACCACAAGGTCACTGCTGAAGAGACTGAGTCTTGGCCTTTGACATTTTGTTATTAGGCATTAATGCTGAACTCCATATTGACTAATTCATATATATACATACATACATATATATATATATATATATATTAGCTCCCAGAGAGTTTTTGTTTTGTTTATAGAACCTATAATTATCACTAAGGATAACAGGGCTCTTTGACCAACAAATGACATTTTCAGAACACAGATAAGCACCATTGGTGTCCAGGGACACACGCTCTGAATCAAACATGACATGACTTACCCCATCCTAATCCCTTGCGTGTGAGCTAGAGTTAAACCCAATAGGATCTTTCCATGTTGAAATTCACAGGATTAAATTGTTAAGTGGTGCCCAGCAATTCGCCAACCTTCCCGAGTCCCAGACCTCATTTGTATGATGGGGATAATCTCATACCACCCCACAAGGGTGACTGAGTCAATAGTTGCAATGTGCCAAAAACAATAACAGCACAGGCGATGTCAAAAGAATTAAGCAACTCAGAGCCACGGCCAATGTCTCAAAATGCGACTGAAATGTAAGCCATTCCTTTTTTTTAAAAAAGGGCTTACAAAGCCAAGAGTCTCTTTTTAAACTAATAAACATGATTATTGCTATAATTAGCTGACGTTAACTCCCCACGCCTCCTTGTCCAGCTCTAAAACTGAGTGTCATTTCCAGGAGGATCGGACTTAGGGACTTCCTTCTGCTCCAAGCCCCCCTTTACCCCTCCTGTGTTTATTTGTGCTTTGTGGTACTCAGGACTGAACCTGGGGCTCTGTGGGTGTCAGGTAAGCATTCTAGGACTGAGCCACACCCTCAGCCCACTCCCCTTTAATCGTCCTCCCTGCCAAGCATTCAAAAGCAGAGAGCACGCACGTGCTGTGTGCGCACGCGCGTTTGGACACACGCCTGTGTGCAGGTGGGGAGCCCTCGAAGCAGAGCCAGCAGGCGCTGCCCAGCTGCATGGGTATCCAGGCCACCCCCATTTTCAGGGGACCCCGTCCCCCCCTGCTCTGGCCCCTCCCCACCTTCCTGTGGCCACACTCACCTGTTGGTGTTCTCCAGGACCTCCACCTTCTTCCGAAGCTCCAGGTTCTCAGATGAACAGGACTCCACTCTGAGGAGAGAGGGCGAAGGCTCGCAGTCACTCTCCACAGGGCAACTGCCCAGCCAGGAGCTAAGGCTGAGGTGAGTGGCATCGCGGAGAAAGAAGCAGGGGTGGTCAGTGGAGGACAGAGAGAGAGTCTAAAGGAACAGCATGGCTGGCAGGCGGGGGGTAGGGGTGGGGGGTGGAGGGGGGGAGAGGGGAGCTCTCCTCAGGAAGGAGCACAGGCTGGGCACATACAGTCCCCCATCAGGCAACTCAGTCTGGCTCCTCACACATTCCCATCGGTCGCTCTCACCCATACTACACTGCAGGATGGAGAGCCGCAGCACTCCTCACCAGGTCGGCTACAAAGCTTAGAGCCTGTGTGAAAGGCAGGCGGGACCAGAACCCAGGACAGTGAAGTAAGGAGCCCACATGCCCAGAGAGGCCGGGGAGAGAGATACATAGAAATAAGCTCGGCCGTGGATGCCTTTAGGACACGAAAAAAAAAAACAAAAACAGAAGAAGAGTGCTTGCTGCTGCATCTGCAACACCTACATCAGGCCACGGACACACTATTTCCCGCAGAAACTTCTAGAACCAGTTAGAAGCCGGCCAGTGCCTGCTCTCACGTGCACAAGTGAGAAAGAAAGACTCGGTTATGGGTCTCCTGGGACCTCCTTCCTATCTCAAAGTCATGCCAACTTGTCAGAGGAAGAGATGCTTCCTAGGTCAGTGGAGACAGCACTCGATTCACACTTCTCCTGGAGCTCTTAGGGCACTCCAGGGCTTTCAAAAGAACAAAGGTGCCTTTATGTATATATATAAAGTGTCCACCCGCAGCTCGCATTACAGAATACAGGAAACACGAGAGTCTGAATTGTGTCATTGAAGCCAAGAGGACCTTGGTAAACAACACTTTCCCAGCAGGCGAAAGCTGGGCACCTCTGGGAGTTTCAGGAATGTCTATATCTAAAACTTGCTCAAGGAGCGTAGAAGCCAGCACTCCAGACCATGGTCCAAAAGCACGGTTAGAAGCAGTTCCTCATATGACCACCAGGGGGCAGGCCAACACTGTTGATGCACTGGGGGGATCATGGAAGCCAAATTGGGCGCCTCACCGTGCTTGGTGACTAATATGTGAAAAACACACAACCGGGCAGTGAGCGGGCTTACTTTTTCTCCAGGCTGTCCATGTATTCCTTCTTCTTCCTCCTGCTTTCTTGGGCAGAAATCTGTGAAATAAAGAGACGGGGTACATTTCCAGTTTTGTACGTAAGACAGGAGTGGATGGAACACAGGGAGGCCAACCGCACAAAGATCCGCCAAGCTGGCCTCACTCCGGTGTCCTGCTCCCCTTTGTTTAAACTGTGGACTCTCAATCTCTTCACCACCCACCCCGTCTCTGACCCAAGCAGATCTTCCCAACCCGCCAGCAAACCCCTGGGTCACAGACTGATCATTGAAATAGCTCAGAAAGATGATGTCAGCTCTCTGGACCTCAGCTGGCTCAGTTCTATATAAAATCCGCCAGCTGGGCTTGGATGTGTGTAAACTGTCTGCTGGCTCCATTGAAGGTACTGGGGTTCCCTCTCTGCCTGCCTCTCCTGCTCTCTCTGCCTGGGTCCCAGGCCTGGGCTTCACCAGGCTCCTTCAGCCCTGGAGGCAACAGGCAAGCCCAGACAGAGGCCAGGTGGCTACTGAAGTTGGTTTTTTATCACAGGCCACTATCAAGAAAAACAAACCTTTAAGTTCCCTAGCATAGAGTCACAGTGGTCTATAAATGACATACAGGGCAAAGAGGAGAAAATATCATATGCATCATAAAAAATCGGAAGGCTGGGTTTTTGGTTTTCTTGTTGTTGTTGTTTGTTTGTTTTGTTTTTAAACATAAAAGGGGATTCTTGTACCTTCTTCTTCCTGCTTCTGAACAGGAAGCATACACACAACAAGGAGCATACACACTGGCGTGAGAGTTGACACCCATGGTGGGCGGGAAGAGCTGGAGAGGCTGGGCAGAGGTGGTGTCTGTGCTCCTGGCCTGGAGACAGGCAGTCCCACTGTGGACTTTGGGGTGGAGCGGGTGGGGGAGGGCAGTGAGGGGTTCAGTTCTTCCCTGTGTGTCACGGAAATGCCTAGAGAGGAACCGCTCACCTTATTCTTGATTTTTCTCCGGATTTTCTTGAGGGCCTTCTCCTCGGATTTTGTCAGGGGCAGTTTGGTGGGAATAGGGTAGCCCTCAGCGACCAGGGTCCTCTTCTCTTCCTCCGTCAGGACCAGGGGGCCAGACCCCTGCAGCTTCTGTGCAGAAAGGGAACGCAGAAGGGTCAGAGAGGAGTGGCTGAAAAAAAAGACCTCAACATAGAGTACGGAGGACCCGTCGCAACGGCTTGCGCGCAGTGGGTGCTTTCAAGTAAGAGACAAGAGAGAAAAGGTGTGCCTGTGTGGGTGACTTATTTGTTTACTTATGCGTGTGAGGCACGTGTAGTATGTGCTTTATATGTAAGTGTGGTGCATGCATGTTGAGTATCAGTGTGCATATGGAGGCCAGAACAGGACATAGGGCATCTTCTAAACTGTAGTGAGACAGGGCTTCTCCCTGAACCAGAAGTTTGACGTTTTCACCCAGGTTGGCTGGCCAGTGAGCTCTTGGGATCTAACCGTCCCAACCCCCAAGGCTGTTGTCACAGACCCAGGCATCCATGCCTGGCTTTTCTATGAGGATGCTTGTGATTCAAACCCAAGCCCTTGTGCTTGCAGAGCAAGACCTCAGATCTGCTCAGTCACCTTCAAAGGGAAGCCTAAAGAGGCCTCCATCCACCGTTTCCCAAGAAATACATGCAAAGTAACAGTATAGAGTTCACACTTCATATCTCTGGATACTTAGGGATGATGGAATATACCCTTGGAGTTCAGCTTCATTCAAGAATTGTCTTGGGGGTAGCTGGGCATTAGTGGCGCACGCCTTTAATCCCAGCACTCAGGAGGCAGAGGCAGGCAGATCTCTGAGTTCCAGGCCAGACTGGTTTACAGAGTGAGTTCCAGGACAGCCTCCAAACAATACAGAGAAACTCTGTCTCGAAAAAACAAAAACAAAAGCAAAAAACAAAACAACAACAACAAAAACAATTGTATTGGGGGGACTGGTGGGGAGGGTGGGGGAGGAGGGGAGGGAGAGGAAGCTGGGGTTGACATGTGGAACAAGCTTGTTTCTAACTTAAATAAAAAACAATAAAAAACAAAGACTTTATTGTTCTCCTACAAGGGCTAATTTTATAACCAGCTCCTTCTTCCACACCACAGTTTGCTGTTCCCCTCCTTACAGCTGAGGAAGGCCCTGAAGTCCCAGAGATACACCAGCAGGCACCTTCCAAGGAAGTTCAGGCTTCCGGAGTCCTACGCTACCCTATCAGCAATGAAGACGAGAACCGCGGCTCCTCCATTTAGCCCGGGACACAATGATGCATCTCTATTAGTCACTCAGGCTGACTCACTGGTGCTTAATCTCCATGCTCCCTGCCACGGGGGACTGAAACCAAACCCAGTCTCTGAAGTGGCTTAGGATCAAGACTTAAGTCTGAAGTGGCACCCGTGAAATCTCAGAGCAGTTGAGTGCTGAGCTGTGATGCTGGCTGGAGAAAGAGAAGCCCTGTGACTTTACAAGACGAGAGCAGGCTGAGAGGCGATGAGACGAGCAGGCTGCTCTCTGAAGAAGGGATGCCTTCTCAGGATCGGGGGGAGGCGCGTCCCGAGCAAAAGGCCGTGCTCCACTCAGAAAAGTAACAGGAGAGGCCTCTGCCCAGAGCAGGTGGGCTCATGGGGCCAGGCAGCAAAGGGTGAGCTGTTCAATACAGCAGACATTGTAGGGCTCTACGGGGCACCTAGCAGTAAACACTGCCTGGCGCTAGCAAGAGTATGGGGGTGGGGGGCTTCCCCCCCAAAAGTGTGCAAAATGGGTAAATCTTGGAAGGAGATGCAGACACAGAGGATGAGAGTAGTTCCAGCAATCCAAAGCCATGTTCAAGTAGAAGAGGCAAAGAAGGGGACATGAATTCCTTTGTTCTCAGTGCTGGTGACCTGCTAAGATCTAAAATTTATGGGGACAAATGCATCTCAGAACTTTCAAAATTATGCTGATAGATGGTTCCCATACTTTCTCAAAATATTTCATTTATATTTGCATGCATGTATGAACATTTTCAAAGAATAAAATATTATCTTTAAAATTTGTTCTTCATATAGTATAATTTTAAAAATCTGACTGTGGTTTTTAAGACCTCATAGAAATCAGATTCCCTCTTCCGAACAATAAAATATGAATTCTCTATCCCTCCTTTTATGTGTGTGGGATGAATGATGACCTGTGATTTTTGTACCAGGCTGTCCCCAGACCCCCAACACACACAAAGATTAAACTACGTTTTTTGAGCTTTTGACATCAAAGAACTTAATCTCAGAGAGACTTTCTTTTCAAATTTCTCCCCAGGCAGCTTATCTAAGAGATGAAAGGCATTCCCCAGTGCAGACTAAGTAAGCGTCACCTACATTAATGGCAAGTGTTTACGGCGGAACTTTGAGGGGAAAAGGACAGGCACGGTATGTCTCAGTCTGCTAGCCCTGGGGAATAAATGGATCGGGAAGAACTGGGCCTGTGCATATGAAACGTAGAATTACTGCGATTTGTGGGCAAGTCTTTACAAACATGTTCTTTAGAGTTCTTACTACTCCACTCTGCACCTTGAACGAGTCTGTCCCCATCTGGAGGCTTGTCCTCCAGTGTGGTGCCATTGAGAAGAGTGGATGTGAAGAATGCACATCAATGCCTTTTTGCTGGAGTGGGCTGGGTCTCACAGGACTGGGTTAGCTCCCATGGCGGTGTGCCGCTACACAGGTCCCTGTCTCCTGGGCACAAGTGTCCTCCCTGCTCCCTGATTCTTCCTTCTGTTTCCCTGCTACACATGGAGCATCCTCTCCAGAAGCTAAGGAGATATAGGCGCCATGCTCTCAGAATCCACCACCTCCAGGACTATATACCAAAACAAACAAACGAAATCTTCCCTAGCTTACTCAGAATTTGCTACGGCAACACAGCATAGACAAAGACTTCCGATCATTAAACAAAAATTTCATTGCAAGAATGAAAAATCCTACTGAGAGGATTCCTGGCTCTGTCCGGAAGGGCCAGTCAGATACTTACATGTGGAGCTGTGAGGAGGGGAGACGCGGACAAGGCAGAGGGGCCCCGGGACACGGCTCTGGCAGGGCTGTGGGCCTGGGACAGGCTGAAGGGATGCAGGCGTGGGTTAGGGCTCAGGCTGCCCTCGGAGTCACTGCTGTGGCTACTGGGTGGTGTTGGTGGTAAGTGCAGTTGATCCACGGAGGCTGAGGGTGAAGAGAACATATGTATCCCATCGATCAGAAGAGTAACAAGAGACTCAGTGGAACACACGCGTCTGTCTCCACGCTGGGAGCCTGGGGTGGGCGCGCAAAGTGGTGACTCTCTCTAGGCTGACCTGGAGAGTTCTTTACATGATGCAGCGAGAAGAGGGGAGCCAGGCACAGAATTGTGTACCCTGTTGCCTCTTTTACATGAGAAGACAAAGTGAGTATGGACTCACACTTCCTAGTCCCAGCACAGACACAGAGCTACCCCGGGCGGGCATGTGCATGAGACACTAACCACAGGATGACTCCAGGGGTGGCCTGGGAGGGTGGGTGCCCCTGACATGGCATGGACAAGACGTTTCACTGTGGCCCTTTACAGTTGTATTTTTTTAGTTTTTTTTTTTTTTTTTTTTTTTTTTGGTTTTATGAGACAAGGTTTCTCTATTATTTTGGAGGCTGTCGGTCCAGCCCGGCCTCGAGCTCACAAAGATCCACCTGCCTCTGCCTCCTGAGTGCTGGGATTAAAAGCGTGTGCCACCACCGCCTGGCTTACAGTTGTATTTTTGAGACAGGTACTCACGTACCCGCACCTGGCCATGAATTCTGGATGCTGAAGATGACCTTAAACTTGTGACCCTCCTGCCTCCCCACCTCTGGAATGTTGGGATTGAAAGTGTGCTCCACCAAGCCTGGATTTATCTGGTCCTGGGGTGGAATCAGAGGCTTCTTGCACGCTTTGCAAGCCCTCCATCAACTGAGCTACACGCCCAGCCCCCGCCGTCTTTTTTCAGATACTTTACACAGGTTGATGCCTAAATGGTGTCAGGAGTACACAGCTTTTTTAAAACAATCTTTTAGGAAACTGCCGACCCGAGAGCTTGTGGAATCCTTGGAGAAAAGCTACTTTGTTTCTAAAGGAATGTGCCTGGTGGGGCCTGCGGGCAGGAGGCCAGGCATTCTTTATTCAGAAACCCTACATCCAACATTAAACTGACAGGTAAGTAGTCACAAGAAAAAGAAATGTGGTGCCTTCTCCCTGAAAGCCTTTCTTCAGGGGCGGGGTGGCACATTACCAGGGCTGAGAGCACCCCACAGGGGTCAGGCCAGCACCCCCAGGGCAGCTGGAATGAGCTTCTGAATGGAGACTATCACCTGGAGGCTCCCTCCCTCTCTTCCCTGAACAGGATTTTTCTGTTCTGCCAGCCACTGTTGCTCAGAGAGATTACATTTGAGGGCCCCCTTGCCCCCAATCCCTCCTGGGGGCCCAGCTTCATGCAGGATCTCTGTATCCACAGGGCACTTGCATTCTGTACAAACCTGAGTAGCTCAGGGGTAGGCTGAGTATGCCCCTTTCACATATTACATGCCTGGCTAAAAAGTAGGCATGCCATAGGTATTAGCCAAGGTTTCCCCATGCCAGGAATATATGACACTGTGAATCAGATTAATCTACCAGAGATTGCAGTTGAATCTCCGAGGGCACCATGAGTTCTCCTGCCCCCCACCCCCGGCCTGACACAGGCTACGCTTTTACTCCTTTGGGGTTAGTCCAAAAAAGAGGGCAGCAGGCGCACAGGAAAAGCCTGCCCATCTGCACGCAGGTGCCCCAGGATCAGGTTTCTAGACATCATTTGAAATGCTGCTCCTCGGCTGCCAAAGGAGTTGGGGACAGCAAGCTACTCTGCCTAGAAAGCCTGCTGTACGCCAGGATATTCAATTTCTTTATCTGTCTTTATCCAGGATAACGAGGAAGGACTGCCATTCCTCCTCCACTATGGGGATCTATTGTTCCGGCTGTGACACAGTAAAAAGAAAAGATACATTTGGTGATTGTAAGCAGCCATAAAGATGAAAGAAATGCTTGAGAGCAGACTCCAAGACTCAAAGGCATGAATGTGTGCTGCTCAATGCCAAGAAACAAAGGCTCAATACAGAAGCAGATGGGTCATTTAACTTTTCACTTCTTTACAGATAGTAAGGGCAGTCATGGCCAACCCTGATTCAGTGGTCTCAGATCCAGCCCTAGGTCCAGTCCTAGAGGAAATAAGGTACTTTGTATACAATGTTCATGTACAAAGTGTGCTCCTTTGCAGGCTGCAGCACACACGCACACACACACACACACACACACTCTCTCTCTCTCTCACACACACACACACATGCACACACCTTCTTTGTAACTGTGTATGCTGACTCCTTTGTTGACCATGCAACGAAATGAACATCTCAACATATGTTGAACGCGTAAATAAAAGGAAGCTGCAGACAACAAGACAAAGAATTTTAACAAGCCATGGGCTCCATGTTCTGTATAAATGAGGTACTGAGAGTTTCCTGTGCCCCCTGAGGCTGAGGGTCTGCCTTCAGGATCCCAACTTGACCTCATATGAGAACACAAAGGGGAAGTCAGGAAGAAAAAAAAAGATGTAGAGAATTAACAAAAAGTAAACAATTCCCAGGCATGACTGGATTCTAAAGTCAAGAAGCCCAAGAGGTATACCATCAGGACCATGGACATTACCAAGCAGGAAAGATGTTCATCACAACTGTCCCCCAAACAGGACAGCTAAAACCACACCCTGACTGTGCAGATGCATTATGACTTCATTTACAGAGGGGTTAACACTCAAGTTTTAGTTGAGCTAGTGCCACCGTGGACTGCTGGGTACCCATGGTGGTGCTAGCAGGCTCACACTAAGAGGGAGCAGGGACAGTGGGTCTTGTCAGCCATGTCACAGCAGTTGATAAAGGGTCTAAACCCCCCCCCCAGTAAAGCATCAAATCACACTGATGCTTAGCTGAAAATGAAGGACATAAAGAGAAATAATTTTTCTATAGAAATGTTTAGTTTTCAAACTATATCTTTGTAATCAAGATTCTTTTTTTAAAAGGTTCATTTGATTGCTTTATCACATATACAGTGTTCTGCCTGCCAGAAGAGGGCACCAGATTGAATTGTAGATGGTTGTGAGCCACCATGTGGTTACTGGGAATTGAACTCAGGATCTCTGGAAGAGCAGTCAGTGCTCTTAACCTCTGAGCCATGTCTCCAGCCCCTGCAATCAAGTTTTTTTTGTTTTCTGGGTTTTTTTTTTTTTGGTTTTTTTCAAGACAGGGTTTCTCTGTATTGTTTTGGAGGCTGCCCTGGAACTCGCTCGGCTTGGTCTCAAACTCACAGAGATCCGCCTGCCTCTGCCTCCAGAGTGCTGGGATTAAAGGCGTGCCACCAACGCCAGCACTGCAATCAAGATTCTCGAGAACAGGAGGATAATTCCGTACGGCCAGCTACCTCTGTAATCCTGTACTGTCTGTCCTGTGCTCCCTTTCCTTTAGAATGAGCACCTAGGGTGAGGGAGGAGGGAGGGAGGAAGGGGCGAGGAGCATACCTTCTTTAGGAGAGAAGTTTAAGAACTGATCCACCTCATGAGGCTCCAACTTAATCTTAGGAATTATTGTCTGGCATGACGAATCCACCTGGAAAAGGAATTTCAAACATGTGTTTTTAACTCAGTAACTGCCTTTACGGAGCAGGCTATTCGCCAACTGTGCCTTACTATGGGGCCAGCACAGTAAAGCATGGGCTACATCTTACTGTATCACAGCCAAACCTGGGACCTGACAAGGCTCATATTATTATTACTATCATCATCATCATCATCATTATTGGTTGTGGTGGCAGTAGTGTTATGATAAAGGCATTTATGGTAAAATATTCTGGTAAAAATTAAGAGTCACAGGCTTCCATTTTGTCCTATCCCCCCCACGCTTTGACGACTGATGACAATATCTAACTATAAAATACCCACCAGGGGAAGGAGGGAGGGAGCACGAGGACAGGACCCTGAACTGTTAGTTACATACATACTTCAAAGCCAACTAAGGCTTGAGCAGGTGACTCAGCAGTTAAGAGCACTCACTGCTCTTACAGACCTGGGTTCAGTTCCCAGAACCCACAGAGTGGCTCACAACCACCTGTAACTCCAGTTCCAGGGGATCCAATGCCCCCTTGTGGACTCACTGATTTCATGTACACATGTAGCACACACATGCATATAAATCAACTGAAGAAAAATCTCCTGGGGCAAACAGACTAATGCAGATCTCAGGAGCCCACCGGGGATCTAGAGAGGCATCAGGAAAGGAATCTTAGGGTTAACTGCAACCCAGATCTCCTTAGTGAGGAGGCTGTGATGTGTGGACGGCTTCTCCCGATGTGCTACCTTTTCAGGACCAGAGAGACGTCACATCTGGCTGGTAGGATATGTAACTACATGGGGATTTCTGGAGCCGCTACAATGAGGCTCTGAACGTGGAACTGGAAAATATACAAGTGTGATTCATGTCTGCCATCAGACCCTGAAACACCGAGGGAGATTCAAGTACAATTAAATTCTACATCCCACAGGGAGGGGCTTCAGTGAGGAGGGATCGCCTGCCTTCCTATGGTCTCCACTAGGAACGTGCCGTGTGTGAACCAGTAGGTAGGAGACCCCGGGTTGGGTAAGAGCAACTCTGCAGGGTTCTAGAGAAAGAAAGGTCCATGCAGAGCCAGCGTGCCCACTCACCATGGCACCGAATGCTGTGGTCTGTACCACAGCCTCAACCATCCTCTCCCTCTGGAATGAAAGCCAATGCCACGCACAGCTTTTCCCCTTTTACTGTGCATTTAATTCCATAGTGGCAATTAAAGTAAAAAATGAATCATCTTTGAAGGTTGCCATAATCAATGTTTTTTACTGTGTATTTAATTCCATAGTGGCAATTAAAGTAAGAAATGAATCATCTTTGCCACGGATTGTTCTGCACAACACCTCTGAAGGTTGCCATAATCAATATTGCTAACAATTAACACATTCTCGATACACTCATGCATGCCAACACACAGGAATGCATGCCTACACACACGGCTGTTTTCCCTCAAATGCGTGCATCTCCTAAGATAAACGCTTTATTGGAGACCAAGGACCTCTACCTTTCAATATCTATATTTATAAGGAAGAAAACTGGATATACCCCAGCATTCATATCCAGAGGGGAATCTTCTTTTTCAAAAGGAGTGGAAATGGCTGTGATGGTCAGAGTGACAGAGGGGACGAGCCCCGGGGGCTGCTCCTCTGTGATGGGCTCTGTCTTGACGGTGGCCGAAGGGAAGTCTGCAGACAGGTACCACTTGTCACTCTCCACGTCCTCTGTGGGAAAAGGACAAGGCACACGTGAACACATCAGGGCACCCGCGTGTAAGTGAGACACGGGACGGCGGACTACTCCTAACCGCGGCTCCAGCAAAGGACCACTGAGAGGAGAATGAAGAGAAACAAGCACGGGAAAAGCGATACGCGGATGAGGAAATGGACGGCAAGGAGAAAAATCTCTCTATGCACATGCCCGGACACAAGGCGCCTGAAGAAATGTTGGGAGGGTTACACGGCAAAGACAGAATCAGATGTGGCAGTTGAATAAGAATGTCCTCCATAGGCTCAGACGCTCGAGTACTTGATTCCCAGTCGGTGGGACTGCTTGAGGTTGAGGAGGTGTGGCCTTGCTCAAAAACAGAAGGCGTGTCACTGGGGATGGGTGTTGAGGTTTCCAAAGCCCATGCATGCCATTCATGGGGCACTCTCTGTCTTCCTGCCTACAGCTCAAGAAGTGAGCTAGCTCTCAGCTCTCATCTGTTCCTGTCACCATCTCTACTACATGCCGCCACGATTCCTTGTCATGAGGGACTCTAACCTTCATGTAAACCCTTTCCTTCTATAGGTTATCTTGGTTATGGTGGGTTAGTTATCACAGCAATAGGAAAGTAGCCAGTGCACTGGACTTCCTGGACACAGCAAGAAGGGGACTCAGTACATAGAGAATAAGACCGGAGGGAAGGTTTTTAACCATGGAACATGTTACTTTTTGGTGTTCCATCCAAGTGAATATGTTATCTGTTTAGAAATAAATAAGTATAGTCAAAAGTAAGAAGGAAAAAACAGGCTAATAGTTGGCAAGCAAGGCCTCAGGACAGAGGATTCAATTATTTGTCTCCTTTCTTCTTTCTTTCTTTTTTCCCTCTCTTCCTCCCTCCCTTCCTTCATTTTTTTTTAATTCCCACTCCCTAGTTTTTGCCCTCTTCTGTTTCCCCACAGACATTTCAAATTTAACTAGACTTCCAGATCCCTGGGAAAGTTCTGGGTCTTCTTGACCAAAACGGATGAAAGACTCATCTAGGGAAGAGGACGGAGTCTTGGTGAGCCCGGGCTCTGTTTTGCTACCAAGGCTTTCATGATGACGGCTGGGTCTGGGGAGAGATGACTGCTGAGCAGCAAGAGGGAACCAGTGGGACTCCTCGGTCACCGGACATGCGTTGCTCTGGAGTGTAAGCTGCACCAAATTGCTTCAGAGCAAATTATTCAGCCCGACCCTGTAGGGATGGAGGGTGGGGTAAGGAAGGAGAGCCAAGAGTCTGGAAACATGCAGGGAAAAAAAGAAAGACCAGCAGTTCCCAAAGCCCACAGCCCTCAAGTGCCACCGGCTTACTAAGAAGAGGCACACAAAGCAGGCAGTCCCTCTGCAATCTGGGACAAGCCCCACCTGCACGGTTACCCACAACTGTTCTGGGGTGCAGAGCAGTCCCCACTGTGCGCGCTCAAGAATCTGGCTCAAGTTTTCTACTTTAAAAGAGAGGCGGGGCGGTACTTGAAAAATCATACAGAGCTGCGAAGGAGGGAAGCATTGGGAGGAGCCCCCAAAAGCAGAAGCTCATAAAGACAAACTTGAACTCCACGAGCTACTTCCTTTGAGCACAGAAAAGGTTAGGTTCCCACTCACAAGGTGGCATTCTGCTTTCAGAGCGAGTTCTATAAGCTGCCCAGTGTCTGGTGTGATGGGGGTGGTTTCCATCACAGGCTGTAGGCGACATCCTGGACCAGGAGGGGCGAGGAGGGAACAAAGGGCCTTTTAACAGCTGCCAGAGGAGGGAGACCGCACTGCCCTTGACACATAGTTCTGCTGGCCAGATGGGCGCCCTGCTCAGCTTATAGAAACAAATGAACCACGGGCCCAAAGAAGACCAGTGACTCCCCCACAAGAAGGCTCAGAGCTAGAAGACTGTCCACAGCAAGGAAGACAGGGGGAGAGCATCCCTAGGACTGAATGGGGAAGGGAGGGAGAGTCAGAGAGAGGGCGTGGACCAGGTTCAGCTCTCACCAGTGAGATGCTGAAGCTGGTGCTCTATAGAGGTCACACTCACAGCCCAAACTGAACACCATTTGCTACCAGAAGAGGCTGGAAGGGATGGGGTAAGAAGAAATTGAGCTCTGGGAAAGGGCAGTATCGAGTCTTCATGCTTAGCCCCTGTCTGAAAACATATGTCCCAAGGGAGCAGAGACTGCAGAGCCAGCAATGGTACCGGACTGCAGAAGGAAGCATCCTCTCTTGAAGACTACAGGAGTAATCCAAGTGAGAAGACCGAAGCTTTGCTTCCCCCGCCCCTGAGCTTGGCTGAGGAGAAACAACTGGTGTTGCCAGCATGCCTCCATTCTGGGACTGCAGTTTAGTCCTCCACCTTGAAGAAGCTTCGAGTTAAAATGAAGCCCAAGCTCAAAGGCACCATTTTTACAGATGAGGAGACTGACGTGTGTAAATCTCCTCCACGCGGCCACCTGAGGTCAGACCCGGATCGCTCGCTCGATTCCGACCAGCTTTCTTCCCACGAAGGAAGCAAGCCAGCAAGTGGGTGGATGGAGATTTGTGCATAGATGTGCTGGAATACACTCTCATTGTGCACAGACATTGACATATTTACAAAGCCTTTTCAATGGCAAAGGAAAGGTCCACAATATACTAGGGAAAACCTTGGTACAATAATATACTATTGATGAAGAAAAGAGATTGTGGTAGTTTGAATGAAAATCCGCCCCCCCATGGCCCATAGACTCATAGGGCGTGGCGTTACTGGAGGTGTGGCCTTGTAGGAGTAAGTTATGTCACCATGGGATGGGCTTTGAGGTTTCAGAATCTCAACCCAGGCCCAGTGCCCCCCCACTCCTTTGGGTCTGGATGCTTCCCACCACAATGACAATGAACTAAGCCTCTGAACTGTAAGCCAGCCCCAGTTAAATGTCTTCCATTATAAGAGTCGCTGTGGTCAAGGTGTCTCTCCACAGCAACAGAACACTGTTAATACACTAAGACAGGGACAAAGGAAACACGTCTGAACAGTAAATATAGATCAAGACAATCAGTCAGAACACCGTGACTCTTGTCTTATTCTTTAGCGTTAGTATTTCTAAAAGCCTGCATTTTAAACTATCAGCACTACCCCCAGCTGTCACACACGGACATGTCTGCCCTGCCTCCTCTGTTGCTTTGGAATGACAATGACCTGACAGAAACTGGAGTGGATGACATGACCCACTGCTGACTCCGGTCAGCTTTCCCACTTTGTGTTAGTTTTGTTATTTCAGTGGAGATCTCCTATCCTAGGAGAGGAAAGGACTTGGGTGGCTGCAGTTGGAGGGTAGTCGTCATAGGTGGGGAGGCTGCAGTTGGAGGGTAGTCGTCATAGGTGGGGAAGGCTTGGTGGTTAGAGTGTGAGGCAGATGGTCACTTTGTATCCATTAAGTAGAGAGAGATAAAGGTTGGCGCCCAGTGGGTGTGGTGCTGCCCTTATTTGTTCCAGGAAGTATTCTGCCTGAATTAACCTCATCAAGACAATTCTCCACAAGTATGTCCTGTGGCTCCTTTCCTAGGTGAAGCTATACTGACGTAAGCCACCATACCCTCCAACTGCGCCTTTTGCTATAAGAGCTTTCAATAACCCGGGTTTTGCCCTGCAACTTAGCCTAAGCAATGGCACGTTAGCTTATTAGCACAGCAGAATCTTGAAATGAGTTGGCTAAGACTGGGTTTATGTTCTTATGGCTTCATTACCACATAAGGATGTGCTGAGATGACTGATCTCTTGATCCCAGAGGAAGGAGCACAGCCTCACTGATCAAACGCATGCCAAGGTGAGCTGAGACAAGCCATCCGAGTCTCTGCTAGCCTTGAGATGAGAGTGAATGTAGCTGAAAGAGGCAGTTGCTAAGCTGATCCCATGTCAATCAGATAATCCCTAGTAGTAGAAATGCACGAACTCTAGTAATGAACTGATTTTTATTTCAGGTATTTACATTTAGTTGATACACTGCTTACTTAGTATATACAAAGTATATACTTTGTACATAAACACTGCCAATCCCAGTGCTCTAACTCAGGACGCCGAGGCAGGAGGATCTAAGGATCATCCTTGACTAGAGTAAATTGGAGACCACCCTGGAATAGACTGCCCCCACATACACACAGAAAGTAAAAGTACGGGGTTTGAGATGGTCTCTTAGACAGCGTAGCTAGCTAATGTAACATGGATGGGATTCTGACCTCATAATCTATTGCAATAGGATAACTGCACTGATATTTTCAGATTAACTCCTCTAAGTCATCACCTGGAGGCTGTGTCAATAAATATTTGGATGGGCTGTTGAGATGGCTGAGCAGAACAGAGCACCTGCCTCCCAAGCCGGATGACCTGAGTCCAATTCCTAGAACCTACATAAAACTCGAAGGAGAGCCAACTCCTAAAATTTGTCCTCTGACTCGCACATACACGCTTAATACAAATATATAAATACTTGTAGACTGGTCAGTCAGACCCTCCAGATGCATTGTAAGAGAAGTGATCTCAGATTGAGGAAGGGCAGTCAATGTGAAGTTTGGTGAGGGCAGCATTCCAGTGTGGTTGGAACTAGAGACGAGAGCTTACATTCCCAACTCTTGGCTATTGACCTAAAAAATTTTCCCCACTGGAATTAAATATCAAATTAGAGAAAAGAAAATTGCAAATGTAGCCTGTAAGGCAGAAGGTTAACAAAGGATAGAATTACGAAAGGAGTGGCCTCTACAACTTGCCCGGGGTCTTAGTTTTACAGTTAAATTTTACTGGCAAAAAAGACCCCTGAGGCTTAGAATTGTATGCATCCTCAGTTATTCATATAACTGGTCACACACACACACACACACACACACACACACACACACACACACACAGAGAGAGAAAAGTAAGTGTATGAAATACTAGTTGTATCTTTTCTAAATTATGCAATTCAGACTTTGAACAACAACAAAAAAAGTGTTTTTCTGAATCGTATCCTCATGCCTCTTCAGT